GAAAAAAAAAAAAAAAAAAAATTCAGTGCTGATAGCAATCACAGTGCCAATTTATTAAGCAAACATTCTATCTCAGGACCCATGAACCTTTCACACATTGTCTCATGCGATCCTCAAACAACTCTGTTAACTGATCCTCAAACAACTCCGTAGTCACTGTTATCCCTGTTTTGCAAATAGAGAAAGTGAGACTCAGAACAGAGAAATGAGTTTTTCATTATCCCACCACTGGCAAGTGGCAGAGTCAGGATTAGAACCCGGCTTGTCCTGAAGCCTACCCAGAATCATAACCACTACCTTATCCCTTTTCTGCTAACCTGAATAGCTGCCCCAAACGACCTGAACCACATCACGGACCTCAGGTCCCTAACTTGCTAAATGGTGGACCCTACTCAGAATTGGGTGGGGGCTCCAGCAGAGCTGTTTATGTTTAGCTCTCAGTTTCTCCATGTGACTCTACACCTGTGGCAGATCATGCTAAACTTTGCTGTGGGTCCCTTTCTTTCCTTCAAGAGGAAAGAATCCTCTCTTGATTCTCAGAACTCTACATACCTTTCACAACAGATGCATAACCTCTGAACATAGGATAAATCTTAAAACCACATTGGTAAGATTGGCATTGTGAGAGATCTCCTAAACTGCACAAATAATGGCATGGTGGTGGCCAAAATGAGGTTCACACTGTCTCACTATCCAAATTTGAGAGTTTTAGCACAGAAAAATCTGTAGTAGGAGCTATTGAGAGGGACGAAGGTGGCCCCCAATTCTAAGGGCTTCTCTCTGTACAAGTACCAAGAAGAAAGTGAAAAAGGTCACTGAGACCTTGACTAGCAAAGGGCAGATATGGAATGATTTATGAAAAACTGGGCATATCAAAATGAGGTCACACTCCTAAAGTGAGCCAGAAAAATTCAGAGCAAATAGAGAAAGTGTTACTTCCCAAATTGTGAAGTTACTGACTTAGAATGTTTTCTATAATATATGTAAGTTACAGAGGGTCTGTGTACTATGATACCAACACCCACACATATATACATATCCTTGCACATGAGAAGAACAGGCCAAAATATCAAAAGCTTTTATTTCAGGGGATAGAATGCCATAATTTCCAGTTTGGAAGTTTTTTGTGTGTCAATGAGGAATTGCACATGATTTTTAGGTTTAGTATTTCACAGTTGTTTGCTGATCAAATTATTTTACAGTTCTCACATCTTGCTTTAAAATTCATAAAATAACATTTTGTTTTTGAAAAGTAAATGAAATTTGTGGGATTGGGACAGGACCTCAGCTTCAGAGACCAATGGCAGAGTTCTCTTCTGATTGATGTGGACTGAGATATAGTGTAGATGTGTGAGGTGGTGATGGGAATTCTTACAGATGTGGATCGAATGGAATCAAGTCCCCGATCTCGAAAGATGCTTCATACATTGAAAATTCTAAGAATTTGGTCGAGGATAGTTTGCAATTTAGGTTTTAAGCAATAGCAACAACCAACACTTGTAGAATGCTTACTATGGTCCAGGAATGTCCTAAAGGAGAGCAGAAAGATGACAGATAGATGATAGATAGATAGATATGATAGTTTCTAATAACAAGGTAAGTGCTATTATGATCTCTAATTTTACAGAGTGTCATAGAGAGTTCAAGTGACCTGTCCAAGATCACACATCTATTAAGTGGTAAAGCTGGAAACTGAATCCAGGCAGTCCAAATCCAGAGCCCACATTCTTTTTTTTTGGCTGCATTGGGTCTTCGTTGCTGTATGCGGGCTTTCTCTAGTTGTGGCAAGCAGGGACCACTCATTGCTGCGCTGCGCAGGCCTCTCATTGCAATGGCCTCTCCCATTACAGAGCGCAGGCTCCAGGCGCACGGGCCTCAGCAGTCGTGGCTCGTGGGGTCTAGAGCGCAGGCTCAGTAGCTGTGGTGCATGGGCCCAGTTGCTCCACGGCATGTGGGATCTTCCCAGACCAGGGCTCAAACCCATGTCCCCTGCATTGGCAGGCGGACTCTTAACCACCGTGCCACCAGGGAAGCCCTAGAGTCCCCATTCTTAACGAACAGCTTAGAGAGCTCAGAGTGAACACAAATTTGAAACTGGAACCACGTTAGTATATTCAGATCTAATTGACAGTTAAGAGCATTTCTATGCACATCTGGCCTAATCCTTTGGATTAAAAACATTCAAAATGTCTGATTGACTGTTTCACAAGTAAATAGCTGAATCCTGTCCATCTGTAAGTTTCTCCATTCCAATACTGAAACTGGAATGATGTCAGATAAATAGTTATTTCAGGGCATGGTGTGATTCCCTGTTTTCACTGCGGACTTACTATGTGTCAGTCACTTTATACACTTTGCTTTATTTTATCTTTAAAACAAGTATGTGAAGTAGGTAAAGTCACCCTTTTTAAAGATAAGGATATTGAAGCCTAGAGATGCTAGCTATCTCATCCAAAGTGACACAGCTACTGAAAGGTAGAGGCAGGAGTTAATCACAGGGAGTCTGAATCCAAAGTTTAAGTTCATATAAACCATATTATATTATGTTAAAAAGCAAATATTTAAAAGATATTTGCCTTCTGAGAGAAAGAGAGAGAGAGAATCTTTGCATAAGTTGTAACCTCCTCTAATACTCTGCCCTTCCTCTCGTGCGTTTAATAATTTGCAGACATCGCCTGCACTGTGGATTATCATTATCATCCCAGGTTTGCATCTCGTCCTTGTGGTCCATGGGAAACATGTCCACAACTAAGGCCTGGAACGGCTCGTTAGTGACCATGTTCATCCTCCTGGGATTTGCAGACCATCCGGAACTCCAGGCCCCCCTCTTTGTGACCTTCCTGGGCATCTATCTTGTGACCCTGGCCTGGAAACTGGCCCTCATCTTTCTGATCAGAGGTGACACCCACCTACACACACCAATGTACTTCTTGCTCAGCAGCCTGTCCTTCATTGACATTTGCTACTCTTCCACATTGGCTCCCAAAATGCTCACTGATGTCTTCCAGGAGCAGAAGACCATATCATTCTTGGGCTGTGCCGCTCAGTTCTTTTTCTTTGTCGGCATATGTCTGAGTGCTTCCTCCTGATTCCTATGGCATACAACCGATACGCCACCATTTCCAGCCCCCCTGCTGTACACTGCTGTCATGTCCCAGGGCCTCTGTACACGCATGGTGGTTGGGGCCTATGTCAGTGGCTTCTGGAGCTCCGTGGTCCAAGCCAGCTTCATGTTTCAGCTTCACTTCTGCGGACCCAACATCATCAACCATTTCCTCTGTGACATCCCACCAGTCCTGGCACTTCCTTTTTTTTTTTTTCCTCATGTCAGTGAAGCCATCTTTATTTATTTATTTTTTCTAACATCTTTATTGGAGTACAATTGCTTTACAATGGTGTGTTAGTTTCTGCTTTATAACAAAGTGAATCAGTTATACATATACATATGTCCCCATATCTCTTCCCTCTTGTGTCTCCCTCCCTCCCACCCTCCCTATCCCACCCCTCTAGGTGGTCACAAAGCACCGAGCTGATCTCCCTGTGCTATGCGGCTGCTTCCCACTAGCTATCTACCTTACGTTTGGTAGTGTATATATGTCCATGCCACTCTCTTACTTCGTCCCAGCTTACCCTTCCCCCTCCCCGTATCCTCAAGTCCATTCTCTAGTAGGTCTGCATCTTTATTCCCGTCTTGCCCCTAGGTTCTCCTGACCATTTTTTTTTCTTTTTCTTTTTTTAAATTCTATATATATGTGTTAGCATAAGGTATTTGTTTTTCTCTTTCTGACTTACTTCACTCTGTATGACAGACTCTAGGTACATCCACCTCACTACAAATAACTCAGTTTCATTCCTTTTTATGGCTGAGTAATATTCCATTGTATATATGTGCCACATCTTCTTTATCCATTCATCTGTTGATGGACACGTAGGTTGCTTCCATGTCCTGGCTATTGTAAATAGAGCTGCAGTGAACATTGTGGTACATGACT